ATTTAGTAGTTTCCATCTTTCCATTATCCCTATATAACCCTAGATGTAATACTCCCTGGACCCTATATGCTCCAAGTTTCCATTTCATTTCTATTTGATTCTCCATAGTCGGGGTAATACACATGTAGTTCTCTCTGGGCCCTGGTATCCCTGGAAAACCACAGCCCTAAACCCCTAAACCCTAAACTCTAAACCCTAAAGCCCTGCCCTTTGCCAAGCAAAGCCCCACGATGCTGGCACAACAACCAAAGGCACTCCGCATAAGCGCGAGGGCGGCTAAACCTAAACCCAAACCCTACCATTTTTTAGGGTTTAGGGTTTCGCGTAGAGGGCCACGCTTTTCGGAAGGTTGAGAGCCCAAAGCACGTTTGATTAAGCAATATTATGGGTTTATAGTATACTGGGGTTATATAGGGATAAAGGAACATATTCTGGAAACTACTATTTAGGATTTAGAGTTTCAGGGTTTGGGTGATATCATCTGCGTCTGCGGTCGCTGCTTGCACCGTGAATGCTTCACTCCCCTGAACCCTGAAGGCCAAAACCTTAAAGAGGACTCCTTAGTTACGACAAAAGATTTGCTTGAAGAGCTGCAGTTGAATCCTTGCGCAGCTTCGAGTCAGTCAGCTGTTTGGGGTGAAGAAAGTGGCTGCAAATGCCTACACACCCAACTCTAAGCCAGATAAGGGCTATATAGACCCTAGACCCTAAACCCGGGTTTTTGGGAATTTTACCGAGTTACATCTTGACCTGCGGCACAGGCCTTTTCCAGAGGGGCGCTCCCTTTTTTTATCAAGGATGCAGTTCAAATCTATTAGAGGTTAGGGTTCTGGGTGTAGGGACCACATCACATTGGACGCGGTCTGGCACAGACTTGTTGTCTGAGGCACTGGGGAATAACAAGGGAAGCTTTGCAAGCTTCTGCACCAAGATCCTCCACTTGCGGGTGCTAATTACGGCCATAATGGTGGATACGAGTAGCTGGAGGATCTAGGAAGCAAAGCAATCAACCATCACTCTTTCATGGAACCTCCAACCCTTTGCCACCCAGCCAAGTCCACGACTATGCCTGGCGCTCCACGTCGATGATTTGAAAGCTTTTCAAATAATCCTCTCTGCAGGGCTTGAAGCTTTCATGCAAGGGCACATCTGAGGGGGATGTTTTGGGGGGTGGACGTACGTAAAGCCATGCCAGTCCTAGGAAACTTACTGCTTACAACCCAAAACGAGATTTCTTCCTCATTGTATCTTGGGGCCTATAGCCCCACAGCTGAAAATCCTAATCACAAAGCAGAACACATGTGGCTCATATTGAACAGCCTTTGTCCATGCTTGATAAAGAATCCTGCATGATCAAGGTATCTTATACCAAGAGAGTTCTGGTATTATAGTATACCGAGGCCCATACAGGCCCCAAGAGATCTTTGATGTCGAAAAGTTGTTCCTCCCTAAGCCCTATAAACCCTAGATCCGACCCCTAAACTCTTGCCAAAACTTGTCCAGTCCTTTGTTTCTCTCTAAACCCTATAAATCCTAGACCTGACCCCCTAAACCCTTGCCAAAACAGGACACTCCAAAACCCCATAAGCCCTAGACCCGACCCCTTAATCCCTTGCCAGAACTTGTCCAATCCTTTGTTTCTCTCTAAACCCTATAAACCCTAGACCTGACCCCCCTCCCCTCCCTTGCCAGAACTTGTCCAGTCCTGATAGTCAAAGAGCCCGTCCTCATCCACCTCAAGGCCTCTGAAGTGGGTTGAATTGTTCTTCAATCCCCTCCATTATGGGGGTTTCCCAAAATTACCTTTTTGGGGGCTCCATAATAAGGATTCAATCCCCTCCATTATGGTTATATTACCCCCCCAATAATGGAGAATCAAATGGAAAAGAACATGGAAAATGAAATGGAAACTGGGTTTATATAGGGGGTTATAGGGGTTAGGGCTTCCCAAAATTAGGGGTACCTTGTTGGGGGGTCCATAATAAGGATTATAGAATATTGGGTTCTATATTGGGGCCCCCCTGCTTCGGGGTTCAGTCACAATGTTCCCACCATTCTATCATAATGCTACCATATGGGGGGTGGTCATTTTTTGGAGGGGTTGGGGGGTTGTCGTAGAGGATTGCGGGTGAAAGGTTCTTGAACAGGTGACTGGCATGACTACACTCCTATGAGGTGGGCAGCCAAAGCTGTGAGGAACCAACTTCCCCATCCATACCAACACACAAACAAGAGTCAATAATAAGGCGAAATTTACGCTGCAGGGCACATCTTGATGACCCCATTTTAAGGCTATATAACCCTAAAATAGCCCCAATATAACCCTAATATGCTATAGTAGTTTCCATTCTCTTTTCCATTATCCCAATATTCAGACTGTACTGCAGCAAGCAATAACTGTGACCATTCATGCTACCTCACTGCAGAGAGCCTTCAAGGACCTGCCTAGCTAACCCACGTCATGTACCCAAGAAGGTAATATAGGAAAATATAGTAATATAGTGGTAATATTGGGGTTATATTGGGATAGTGGAAAAGAAAATGGAAACTGCTATTTAGGGTTTACAAAATCCTGCTACGTAGTAGGGACTGATTCAGATCTTCGTATCTATCCAAACACTCTTGGAATTGGGATGTGCAGTATACGTAAGTAGATGTGTCAATGTGCAGGCATGCGCTGACCTAAGGCCCACATATAACCCTAAAATAACCCTAATATATGATAGCAGTTTCCATTTTCTTTTGCATTATCCCAATATATTCAGACTACATTGAGGCAAGCAACAACTCTGACCATTCATGCTACCTCACTGCACTTCTTTGAAACGAATTGCAGGAAGCTGCTTTGGACAAGTGGCTGACCACAAGGCTTTCCAGTTGCTGTGGAGTGAGGCTTGGGCCATACCTCGGTCCCAGGGTTCAGGACTTTAGAGTTTATGGTTTAGGGTTTAGGGTTTAGAGTTTAATTGTGGTTTAGTAGCAGTGGTAATACGATAACAATGATGGCGATGGAAATGGCGATAGTCATAGCAACAAGAACAATGGCAACAGTAACATTCTTAGGGAACTGTTTGTTCTATGGGATACCTGGCCATTCCCGCGCACTTTTCTTTGCCAGGGCTCACCTTTTGTCAGCCAATTCCTAATTAAGGGGAACCTGAGGGGGGGAGTTAGGGAACCCATGAACTGCGGATGGAGGAACCCCTGCACGAGCCTAAAATCCCTGCATCCTAGGAGATACCCTAAACCCTGAACTGCAGAGCCTGAGAAGTGCGAGATTGGGTTCTGTGCTTCGAAGTCACTTCTCAAAATCACCGGATCCTACTCTCTGGCTCTTTCATGAAAGGACTCTAATGGGGACCTCAAGCAGGGAAGCTCAAGAAGACAGTGCAAACAGAATGGGAATAAGGACCCTTTTACGTATGTTTCTATTGTGTTCGCATTGGATTCGTTCCCCCTGAACTAGAATCTATACCCTAAACCCTAGACACAGCTCAACGTCTGAAAGCTGCCATGCAGGCTCTGCTCCCTCATGGGTCCTTTCTGGGTTGCTGCTAAAGAACTTTAACCAAGTTACCAAAAGACCCTAAACCCTAAACCCTTTAGTAAATGAAGCAGCTTCTCCATACTGATAGCTTCAACTGAAGCTCCTTAACAGCAACACCAACATTGAGAGATTATTAGGGTTTGTATAGGGATTATATTAGGTTTATATTAGGGTTATATAAAGGATTATATTGGGTTTATAGCATAGTCCCTAATGAGAGACTTCCAAATGCTGAAAGCCCTGCTTTGCTGGAGATATGGGCAGATCCTTGCACAGGCAGGCAGCCGCCTTCGGACTTCAGTGTAAACCTGCGGTGTATATGGGGATACATAGGACGCATTTGAACAGATGTACATGTATACATTATATACACCTAAGTACATCTTTGTACCTACAGCGATGGATGAAGTTTAAGCTCTTCAGACATCAGGGGCTAGGTTGTGAGAGTGGAGAATATGGGTTGCCCACATATAGAATCCAAGAAAAGCTAAACTCTTTAGTATACCCTAAAACTTAACTGCCCCCCAAGCGTACCCCTAATTTCAGGAATGATTCTAGGGCTTGAACTCTCACTGTTTCAAAGCTTGTTGCTTACTAGCACTTTCCTGCTTTCAAAGAGCAGGCCCCTCAGCAGGATCTAACACTTAGATCCCTATATAAACGCACAGCAACACCTAATCTCCGTGTATTCTTCCCCAGAAGATTCTAGGGCACCTAATTTCTAGATTCCTCTTGGGGTCTGGCAAGGGGCTTGCGTCATACCTTGTCTTTACGCTGGCCTGGAGCCTGGGAATGCTAAACTCAAGGGACAAGGATTACCTGGCACCTCAACTACCTACAGCTTAGTAGTAACTACACCATAATCAATGGGTACAACTCGGTATAACCCATCAGACTGCAGGCAATAGGGGTTACAGGTAAGGTTGGACTGAACACCCCGCTCCGCCAATTTCTTAGCGTAAGCGCCCTTAGCTTAGAGAACTTCCCCGCCCAGCTAAAAGCTAAGCTAAGCAATTGCTTTATGCAGGGGTATAGTATCGGACAATATCGGAGGAGCAGTAGCAGTAGTACCCACGATAACACAACCAGTGATGATAACACCAACAGAAACGCAATTCATCTTAGTAAGCTGAAGTAGAAATGGTAACAACCTGACAACGAACCACCCGCCCCCGCGATGACGAATCTTAGCCCGATTATCTACGCCAATTAGGGCTTACTTCTAAGGGCGGAAATTCAGGGAGTATGTTATTTACAGGTCAGGTCCGTTAAAAGCAAGGCTTTGCACCACCCTCTTTTTCCAAGTCCCACGCTTCGAAACGCTACGACTGCCCAGAACCTCTAAGTAGTGTTCAGCAGGGACAGAGCAACAACAAACGCCTTGGCTTAAGGACGCAGAGTTGTGAGTAACTTACCCCAAGAGAGAGATATAATAGCAGATGGCCCCTCTGTCTCAGTATTGCATTTTCTTTGAACACATTTGGCACTTCAACAGGCTCACTCCAACAAGGCCGATCGACGACAGCAGCGCAAAACAAACGAGCCTGTTGCCTGTTAAGATCGACAATATGAGTAGGCAACCTGACAGCAGGCAGCATGCCTTAGCACTCTTGACATGAGATCTCAACCGAGAGTGCCAATCAACATCGCCACTAACCAGCGCATAATCTTTGGGATGCATCAGTCTTCTAAGCTTTTTCAGTCTGGATCCTTTCAACGACCGGCTAACTTGGTCACCTTCGCCAGCCTGTAACAGCTGTCGTACAGTCTCCACTTGGCCCCTACCTCCTGCCAGGATCACTGGATCTTGCCAAGCCTCGGTATGCGAATTGAACTCCGGATGAAGGTCGCAGCTTGCATCTGCCCGAGCTTCTATCAACAGATGCACAATGTCCCATTTGCCAAGCACGGCTGCAGCCCTCATTGGCCCAACCCGAATCCAGCCCGCATTTGGGTCTTCGGGTCGCTGCAGTAATCTCTCAACGTCTGATTCGTCTCCTACTAGGCACGCGCGGAGGAGATACAGGCCTTGGTCTCGGGAAGGTGTATAGTCAAGTATCACCAGTAGCACATCAATTGGTGGAACCAACTCATGCATGTCATCCAAGATTTCTCCGTTATGCAGGATCCTTTGTCGAAAGCGGGGCTTCCCACACAGATCTCCCAGATGCTCTTTCAGACTTCGAACATTGTTGATGTCGTCTGAAGACAACGATGCCAACTGACACCCAGAAAGCTTCCAGACTGTAATCATCTGTTCAGAGTGATGGACTTTGTGGTGTCAACATGTATTGGTGAGATACTAGGTTATTAAGTTAGGCCTTTAACCACAGCACATTCCCCTTCTACCACTCTTACGGGGCGGCCCTACTGGCAGGGTCAAGCGGCCTAGGAAGAAAACCTATAACCCCCATAAGCCATATAACAACGCCAGCTATCCCTATATTAATTAATATACTTACTAAGTCTCCCTGACCCTCAAAGTAGGCCTGCACGGACAAAATGCACAGAACTGTGAGTTTCCCATTGCTCTTCTTCTGAGGCCCCTCATATTCATACTAAACACCCCCCACCACTTCATGTTAGGTATCCTGCAAGACACCTCATAGATTGGGGCACAAAACAACAGTAGGCGCAGGGGGCGTTTGATATTAGCAGCAAGGGATGAAATATTGGACCCTCCCAGTGAGTTATTCTCAAAACAAGGGGCCTTTTTGGTTGTTTGGCTGCAGAGATTATAGCACGGCACTTAGTAATAACCCTAAACCCTAAACACCGAACACAATATGCAGGGGTACTCAAATGGGATGCCCCTAAACCCTAAACCCTAAACCCTAAAACCTATACCCTAAACCCTAAACCAGAAATTTTAAACCTAAACCCTAAATCCTAAACCTTTTACACAAACGGTTCAAATTTGAGCCACAGTGGGGAAGACGCGAATCTCAGGCGTGATGGAAAGCAGTGCAACAAGGAGAGCTACTCTTCGTAGGTTTTAGGGTTTAGGACTTAGGGTTTAGGGTCAAGGGATTAGGCGGTGTTTGGGGTTGAGGGTTGAGGGTTTCGGTAGGGCTAAGGGTTGAGGTTCTAGGTCTTACCCTCATGAAAGAAATGAAATGAAAATGACATGCAACATGAAATAAAAGCTGCAATGACGTAGAGCTTTAGGGTTTAGGCTAACTCAGCATGTTACGAAGCACTAGCGCTATCCATAACGATATTTGTAAGGCACTACAACTTGGGCTTTTCCATGCCTAGTCAAAAGAGCTTGGGAATAGGGTGTAGGCCGAAGGTTAAGGGGAGATTAAGAGAACCAAGCTGCAGGCACGCGGGATACCCGCCTCTAAGCAAGGATAAAGCTGCCACAGTTCCCTTTTCAAAGGACAGTAATCCTTGCAGGGTCCATTTTGGGCTTCCATGTCAGTTTAGGGGAGTGTAAGACTCAAATACCTTCAGAATCATCTACGCGCTCCATTTGTAGATCGGCTAAGACTTTTTGGCAAATTTACCTGGGAACTTGTTCCAGTGCTTCAACCATGCTTTCACCTACGTTATGCGTACCCTACATGACCCATGCACTGTGTTGCAACACTAAGCCGTAACTGGGTCGTTGTTAAGGAACTTAATTCAAGTTACCATAATGGGTATATATAGTAGTTAATATGGTTTCCCCAATATAGCAATTTAAATTAAGTTCCGTAACAGCAGCCCAGGTAAACACGTCGCCCACTCTGTGCTGACTGGCCGCGGATTCTCCGGCAACGCTTGCAGGACGCACTTGTAAACCTCGCTGTTCTCATGCAAGACCCATGCACAGGACTTTGACAAGAACCATGCTCTAGTCCAGCAAATCATGTTAAATCCCTAAACCCCTAAACCCTAAGCGCTAAACCCTCAACCCCTAAACCCTGAAACATAAACCGTCCTTAATGCGAAGTTGGACTGATGAACTCCTGGGCAATGACACGCAAACCATGCAGGGTTGTTGTCGGAAAGGGGTTTATAAGGGATATTATAGGGCTTATATAGGGATATTATAGGACTATGTAGGGATTATATAGGGATTTATAAGGTTTAGGGTTTAGGGTCTCCCAAGATTAGGAGTACCTTAAAGGGTTTTATAGTGGTTACATCAGGATATTATAGGACTATGTAGTGTTGAGGGTTTAGGGTTTCCCAAAATTAAAGGCACCTCTGTGGGGCTAAGGATGATAATACTTCAGGGTCAAAATTGGGGATGCTCTGATTTTGAGAAACTACCATATCGCGTCCAAAGTGAAAAGTAAGGCTCATAGCGAAGCACCTGCGTGAAAGTCGATGTCATCCCTAGCCCTAGGAAGACGCTAAACCCCCTAAAGCCTTAACCCTAAACCCAAATTGTAGTTTCCATTTCTTTTCCATTATCCCCATATATCCCCTATGTAACCCTATATAATCCCTATAATCCTTGCATTTTCCATTTTCAGCGTCTCAGAACTACGTAGGCCCTAAGTTGGGTCAATCCCCCACCCAGCAATGGATACCAGGGTTCAGGGTGTTGGGTTTAGGATTGGGCGAATCCCCCACCGGGACTATGGCTTCAGGCCATACTAACTCCGTATTTGGGGCCATTGCTGTAAGGGGGATTTGCCCTAGGCCCTCAGCCATACAGAGTAATCCCCTATGGCCGAAAAACGTGCAAAACCCCAAAGCCACTTCTTCTTCGAACACCAATCGTCTCCTTTAGGAGGACCCCCCACCCTGTAATAGTGGTATAATAGGAGTATAAGAGGACTCATATATATTCCTTATTATCCATAATAGTCACTATTGCTGGGTGGGGGGTCCACCTAAAGTCTCCTAAACTCCTAGAACCCTAGTCTTCCACAGACCTGAAGCCCTGAAGACTAATGTCCAGGCCCTACATGAGCGCTAAACGTGCCCTAAAACATGATATCCTAGACACCTAGACTCCCATACTGGCACGGTCACTTTCACTACTACCATGACACATGTAACGATTACTATTACATGTTTCTGTACAATCGTTAGTACTAGCAGCAATATCACAGGCACGATCAGTATCACAATCACTTTCACTGCTACCAGCATGCATACATACATACATACATACATGCATACATACATAAATACATAAATACATAGATACATAAATACCTACATACATACATACAT